GTGCTGCTATCATGCTGCAGCGTGCTGCTATCATGCTGCAGCGTGCTGCTATCATGCTGCAGTGTGCTGCCATCATGCTGCAGCGTGCTGCTATCATGCTGCAGCGTGCTGCCATCATGCTACAGCGTGCTGCTATCATGCTGCAGCGTGCTGCTGTCACGCTCCAGAGTGCTGCTATCATGCTGCAGCATGCTGCATGCCATCATGCTGCAGCGTGTTGCTATCATGCTGCAGCAGGCTGACATAATGTTCCTTGTTTTAATATATCCAAGTTGAATGAAAATCAATTTACTTAATTAGTAAAACTATTAATCAATGTGAAGAATCCCTTTCTGAATTGGGCAATATTATTGATAAGTATTATATATTGATTAATAGTGATTACATTTATAGATCAGTAATTAATGCCACGTAACGAGTGTAATAACATCTGAGGCTGGTTATCGTTCAGAAGTTTATACAATTTACCATGGATTTGAAACCCGGACCAATATTGAGGAGAACCTGTTGATAGAAATCAATGGAACTTTAGTATTAATGGGCCAATATAGGGGGCGGAGGAACCTACTTACTGAACGTCTATATAAACAATTTATAATTCAGTGTTAGGAAAAAATAAACACTTCAACTTTGACGTCTGACAATAAAGTTTAAAATTGTAAGTGCAGCAGTATAAAAAATATTGCATATCATGTGTTGTGGAGTATCATTAACATTTGATAAAGCTACTTAGATACTAATATAGGCAGCACAGCCACCCCTATATGTCATCAACACCTAGAGGCCCAGTACAGTTATTTGTACTGTCTGCGCCGCGGCAGTAAGTGAGACAGAGAAGTGACAGGCAAACAATCGGGCAACAGACAGACTGACAGAAGCACTTCGCCTCCGTCAATCCCGACGCGCGGCGCAAAAACCCGAGGCGGGATAGACAGAAGTCCTGGCCACTGCCGCGCAAATAATAACTATTTAGTTAAACAAATGATTACTCTATGCATAGGAAAATAATTAACTTCAATTTACACGCTTTAATACCTACTTTTTTACACAAATTGTTAGTGGTTGCCTTATATTTTACATTATACCTAAAACATTCATGAGCGCATGACCAGCAGGTTGCACTGTCTTTGGGGGTATGAAATGCAGTTAGCCAAAATACAGACAAATGAACATCATCAGTTCGACTAATCTAGGGCTGCTAGTTTATAAAACTGTTTTCTCAGCTTACAAAATATACCGCCACGTGGTTCGCTAAATTTTCGGCTACATTAGCAGCAGTTGCCCAAATCTTCGGCCGCATGAGCAGCAGTTGGCCAAATCTTCGGCCGCATGAGCAGCAGTTGGCCAAATCTTTGGACGCATGAGCAGCCGTTGGCCAAATCTTCGGTCGCATGAGCAGCCGTTGGCCAAATCTTCGGCCGCATGAGCAGCCGTGGGCCAAATCTTCGGCCGCATGAGCAGCCGTTGGCCAAATCTTCGGTCGCATGAGCAGCAGTTGGCCAAATCTTCGGCCGCATGAGCAGCCGTTGGCCAAATCTTCGGCCGCATGAGCAGCAGTTGGCCAAATCTTCGGCTGCATGAGCAGCAGTTGGCCAAATCTTCGGTCGCATGAGCAGCAGTTGGCCAAATCTACGGCCGCATGAGCAGCCGTTGGCCAAATCTTCGGTCGCATGAGCAGCAGTTAACGTAATTGACCTCATGGCCTCCCCTCACGATCGTCCCTCTTTCTCTCTGCCCTCAGATCTGCTCTAATAACTACCATTGATCTCTGGCTGCCCTCAACAACAGTTATCATCGCTCTTATTCGCCAGTTATTAGAGCGAGGGTGCGACGTGCTGCTTAAACGCCAGCAGATGTGTATCGCAATCGACCTTCCGACGATTAATTTAAAATTTTTTGTATGAATTCTACTTGGAATTTGGCACAAAAATGTCGTTGATGAAAATATAGGGAGAAAAAATTCATGTCTCGACGTTGCAAAAATGAATTAACAAACATTTTATTTAAATTTACAATTTAAAAATAAGTCTATAGTATTTAATTTATAAATTATTAGCGTATTAGTCAACACACGGGAGTCGTTGACGATTATGAACGGCTTAATTAAGTCGGCAATTATCGCTGAATAATTCATCTCGTGAGTAAATTAATAGCTCTTGTTGGAATGCCTGCTAGGTTTATAATTCCTATAATTCTCAAGAGTATTATTTTCCAGATATCCAAGGTTGAAATTGAAGATTGAATAAAAAAATCAAGAATAAATATCAATGAAAACTGAACGATAAAAAAGGTATAAATAGTTCTGCGAACAATACTATAGGGGGCCTTTAACCACATTCTCTAACTTGCGCTCAAAATTAATTTTCGATTGAAGAAAAAAGCGATAAAATCATGATTTAGAATTTAAAGACGATATTGCTTATTCATACTTCCTTAGGTCGTTACTGAACCAATCAGAGCGCACAAAAGCGGTCACGTGACGCGGCCCCGGCCAATTAGCGTCGCTTATAATGACTTCCGTTCGACGCTTGAGCCAGTTACAGCGTATACTGTATACGGTGAGGCCGTATGAAGGTCTATATGCGTATTATAAAGACGTGTCATGGCCTGTATGCGTATTATTAGGCCATATCATGGCTAGTATGTGTATTACTAGACTGTATCATGGCCCGTATATGTATAAGTAGGCTATATTTTTCCCGCATTCGCATTATATTACTAGGCTTTTTTAAGGCCCATTTACCTTTTTTAAATGTAAATATATAATATTATATTATATAAACATTTTGTATGCGTATTACTAGGCCATATTATAGCTTGGATTTGATGATGTCATCCTGTACGGGTAATAAGATGGATTGAGGGTAGAATTTACCGACAATTTAGGATAAAAGACAACGTATGAAATCGGTGATCATATCAAACGAACGTACATCACAATGACAGCCCAACCGAGTCCACTACAAGACACAAGTCGTCTAAAACGCACCAACCACGACGCATCACGCCACATGACACTACAGAGACGCATCACGACGCATCACGCCACATGACACTACAGAGACGCATCACGACGCATCACGGCACATGACACTCCAGAGACGTACCCACGACGCACTACGACGCACCACGATGCACCACGATGCACCACGACGCACCACGACGCACCACGACGTACTACGACGCACCACGACGCACCACGACACACCATGACGCACCACGACGCACTACGACGCGCCACGACACACCACGACGCACCACGACGCACCACGANAAAGATTGCGATGTAGAGCGGCGTATACACAACGGTAAAGAGTGCGACTTAGAACGGCGTATACACAACGGTAAAGAGTGCGACGTAGAGCGGCGTATACAAAACGGTAAAGAGTGCGATGTAGAGAGGCGTATACACAACGGTAAAAAGTGCGACTTAGAACGGCGTATACACAACGGTAAAGAGTGCGACGTAAAGCGGCGTATACACAACGGCAAAGATTGCGATGTAGAGAGGCGTATACACAACGGTAAAAAGTGCGACTTAGAACGGCGTATACACAACGGTAAAGAGTGCGACGTAAATCGGCGTATACACAACGGTAAAGAGTGCGACGTAAAGCGGCGTATTCTCAATGGTAAAGTGCGGGACGCTGAGCAGCGTATGCTCTACGGTAAAGAGCGCTCCATATACGCACTCAACGATGAAGAGTGTTACGTTGAGCGGCATAAACTCACCAGTAAAGATCGCGACGTAGAACCGCTTTTCCTTAAACTGAACACGAATCTCTTCAGTGCTTTCGTCACTGCGTGCATCACCGTATATAGTACGTCATTTTAGGTATATCATAAGATATATCATCGTTGTTCACTTAACGATGATGTACATCATCTGGTACATCACCGGTTAGTTAAGCACTTAAGTATCATCAATTATAATTTTCAGGTACTGAATCGCTAAATACGAGTACATCATCGTTAAGAATCCCATTGTCCTGGGAATTCTTTTCAATACCATGCTTCACAAATATCATTGCGAATATCATCTCGGATTGTAATTATAAATATCGTAAAGATTTCCTTACTGAGCACACTCTCTAGGTATATTCATCGTTAAGTTAATTTTCGTTGTGCTCATCAACGACAAGTGTAACATCTCTCAGAACATCAACTAGAGGAGTAGCATCTTTAACAATTGTGATGCATAAATCGAGTCCAACTGCTAGTCAAGTGACTGGCTACGAGCTCGTTCCTTGCACCGACCAGGCCGCAGTTAGTGCTAAGTATCATGTCGCTGGTGTAATGGCTGGTTTATCTATGGTAGTTACTTGCTAATGGTATGTGGTTATTGATGGTATGAGGTTATTTATGGTAACTGCAGCGCCGGCGCGGAACAAAAGACGGCGGTAAAGCAACCGTACGGCGCGCGCGGAAGGCCATTAATCGGCCAAGAAAGGCCGTGTGGCCAGTGACAAGCTTCCTGGCCGCCACGTGCCTTGTTTCCTGCTGGTGCAGGCCCTTTGCAGGCACTCTCTTCCAGGCTGATTAGGGAGACTTTGACGGCCAAATGGCATGTCGGAAATTAGTTCATCGTACCGTTGATACGAGTAAATTCGCTCATTATAATTAAATTTAAATATTTTATTAAGAATTTCAGGTACTGGAGCGTGTCATTAATTACTAAAATTTATCATCCTCAAAAATTCCCGCCAATCGATCGAAATTAATTTGGAAATGAGCATCCAATCTATTGTACGTTCATCATCAACGTCAACGGTTATCAGCAGCGCTGCAGCTTCTATGAAATGATTTCTTCTATTCATTAGCCGAAATATGAATAATCTCAAAGCGACATAGTATCTAGATGAAAAATCAAATCCAGTCGAAAATACGAATTGAAAATCGAATCGAGTCTGTAAAATTGCAGAATTCGAGGCGATGTACGTACGCCATTACGACGCGCGTGTGTCTCTGTAGTGCTGCAATAAAAGGCTCCCAGGCGCTGTATCAACAGCACCAGGGCAGAGCAAACAGGCCTCTGTAAACAGAGTGCAGGGAATCCTCTTGTAGGATTATTAAATGGTTGACTCTGTAGAGTGCAAACAGAAGCACCGAGACAGGCGGATAAACAGGGCTCCTCTTCTGTTTGCTTCAGACGGCGTGCTTTGCATTATTTTGTTAGGATTTTTGGAGCACGAGAAATCTTTTCCAGGCTTTAAAAACGTCCTAGGCAGGCTAGGCGTGACGGACGTTTTGAAACTTTTTTCGGGAAACTTATTTTCTAACTCTGAGGCTCAAGGTAACTTTTATTTTGAGTGTCCTATTGGGGTTTAGGCTTAGGGAGTGAACATGTCACTGATGAACATATGCGTGCTATTCATGAACAGCGTATGTAGTGAACATGTCACTGATGAACATATTGGAGTGTTATTCATGAACAGCGTATGTAGTGAACATGTCACTGATGAACATATTGGAGTGATATTCATGAACAGCGTATGTAGTGAACATGTCACTGATGAACATTGACGAGTTACTCATGAACAACGTATGAAGTGAACATGTCACTGATGAATATTTCCGTGTTATTCATGAACAGCATATGGGGGATGAGCGAATCACGTGTTATTTATGAAAATCTTCAAATCAATGTTGTCGAACCTACATAAAATTGCTTGCTACATCTAAGCCTTATTTATAAGAACAAAATTAATTTATGAGCGCCTTATTGACTGTCTTTTAGCTATGGTTATCCGATCCCACCCTATTATGTTTGCAACTAACGTCTGAAATAAAATTATATCCTGACGATTGGTGCACATTTTATAATGTAAATTCAGCGTTATGCATATTATGTTTTAATAATTATTCCACATTTAGCATTCGCTTTGATATGACCAACTAAATGATGGAAAGTTAATCAAGTTTTAAGAAGTTGATCACGTTATCTGACGCTGCTTGAGATAATGAAATGTTCAGATGAAATTCCATAGGTTTTCTGTAGACGTATTTGTGAATCTCTTAATTTGCTTGTCATCATTTTGAATTAGTTTTTTCAAAAACACGGAGGAAAATTTTGCAGACCAAAGTCGTGAAAACTTTGTTATATCAACAAATAAAATATTATAAAAAATGTCATCCGTGCAGTAAAATTTTTAGAGTATAAACAAATTTTTATAGTGTCTTAAATTAGATTAAAATACAACAAAATATTATAGATATGCAAAAAAGTTTTGAATTTTTTATTGAAAATAATTCATTGTATTCTCAGCAAAATAATAAAATCTCATGAAACACATTAAAATCAGTCATTTTAAATAAATCAAGATTGAATTATTTCACATAACAAAGTCACATATTATTATTTATTTCAGTTATTTCAGTCACATAAAACCACACATTAAAACTTTAATCCTTAACATTTTATTTCTTTTCATTCCCCCTACAGGATGTCAGGAGGACTAAGCAGCATGGGTGGGGGTGCGGGAGGCGGGTGTCTACAGCCCCATAGGGATGGCCACCCAACCGCCGCCCATACGCCTTATCCCTACATGTTCCACGACCCTCTCTCGTCTCTATCCTCGTCCTCCCTCTCCCCCTCGGCCTTATCCTCGAGCTATCAACGTACGTCAGGTAACCTGACGTGTGCCAACGTCACGTCTCAGAGCGTTGCGTCTTTCAACGCCGCTGCTGCGTCGCACGCCGCCGCGTCATACGCAGCAGCGACGCACGCCGCAGTCGCCGCTACGTCATCAGCGTCGTCTACTGGTACGTCGCGTGGTCTTGTGGGTAGAAATTGCGTAAAGTATAGCGTCATCGTCATGTATGGTTAGCCTATGTGCATGTCATGTTTAGTCTATGTCTAGCAATCAATATTTGTAGGATCTTGCAAGGTCAGTTTTCTCGTGCGCTATTCAGCTGTGCTTTTCAAACATAATTTTGACATGATTTAACCTCGGTGATCCAAGATTGCAGTGACAGCTGTAGTGAGGAAAAATAATTTCAAATACTAACGTTCTATTAATTTAAAAATATAAATCTTCCATCATAACTTTATTAAAATCATTATTAATGTTCTAAAATATATTTGCCTTATTTACACAGGAGTGATCAGTGCCGGAGTTTCGGTGCCTGTTCAGATCCACAGTCAGACCCCCGACCTCGTCGCAGCGAACTACTGGCCCAGGCTCCAGTGATGGGGGGCCAGCGCTCCCTGGGGCGACGTCATTGGCCTCGGGGAGAAATGATTGGCCCCCCGATCATCGTCTGATCGGCACCCGATCATCGTCTGATCGTCACCCGATCATCGTCTGATCGGCCCCCGATCATCGTCTGATCGGCACCCGATCATCGTCTGATCGGCACCCGATCATCGTCTGATCGGCACCCGATCATCGTCTGATCGTCACCCGATCATCGTCTGATCGTCACCCGATCTGATCGTCACCCGATCATCGTCTGATCGTCCTCTGATCATCGTCTGATTGGCACCCGATCATCGTCTGATCGGCACCCGATCATCGTCTAATCGCCTTCTTATACCGAAAAACTTTCTCTAGAAAGGAATTGATTGCACTACCAAGCGCAAAAAAATGGGTTTCGCTTTTTGCGATTAAATCAGCAAACCTATAAACAAAACGTGGTCAGTAAAACCTGCTGTCAGTAAATCGGTGTTTTTTATATAATTTGAGTGTTGTGTGTTAAAAAAATTCAGTTCGAAATATGTGAAGAAGACTTTTAGCTCACATTAAAGTTGGGGCTGTGGAAGTAATGTTCATTAATACTAACATTTTAAATTCGACCACAATCGCAACAAAGGGCCACGATTCATGGCAATTGATGACAAATATATTAATAAAGAACCTACACGAATAATATTATACTTCGTATAATAGAAAATCCCAGGTCGATCGCATTTTAAAGCCATCACGGAACAACTCAACCTGAATTTGAAGTTATCAATAGAAGTCCGTATCGAAGATTATGTTGTAATTATGTATATGTGTAAATATATTGCTTCAATCAGAAGCTTCCACTCACTGATCATGAGGGCTTTTTCATAGATGTAAATATTTTCCTTTTCATAGCGTCATCAGTGATAACTCTTCCGTAGTCAGTCTATTTTAGCTGCCCAATAGACAATGCAATGATTCACTATCGACACTTTGTTCAGGAAAGCTGAATAGATTTCTATATACAAAATGGGTGCTTCCAGACAGTGAATAGTGCGAGAATTTATTACCAATACAAAAAACCAAGAAGAAATTTGCATACAATTTTTGCCAATGCCAATAATTTAGAAAAATGTATATACCAATTCGCCTCCCGTACTCTGCAGAAAAGTGTTCTTTGGAATTTTTTATGTTAATGTCACATTCAACTGTGACAGTTAAAATGTAAAGGAAAATAAGAAGAATGGTGCAATTTATGCTGTAGTACGCGGTGACATCTAAACCTTACGTTAATACAGTAAAATGCAGTTTTCAATATTACAAATTTCATTCTTTAATTTTAGATAAATTAATAATACAAAATTGTCAAAAGTTTATGCGCGAGACATAGACTGAACGAGTCGCATAGAATGAAATCGAATTGGCTCCCCCCGGCCCAATTACGAAGCATATCTCGCAATTCGCTAACGAGATCGACTGGGGCTACATTACGAGCGCAGCGCACATTCTTCATTGTTGAACGCGAGTCCAAAAGCTTATTTGCATTTACGAGTAATTGGATGAACGCGTCAATCCGCCAGCTCGTCGCCGTCCAATTCTGTCGCGAGTATTAAAAGAATCGGTCTGACTTTTTCAACTCAGGAATTTCGTGTTTGCGTTTTTCTATAAGAGCCTCAATAAGCAGTACGATTTATAAAATCAACGACGAAAATTTTAAATCAGCACTGATTTTTGTTCGTTCGCGCGTGCAATGTCCAGCAATCACGGCAATTCACGAACTACTCGACCAGTTTGTGACGGTCAAAAAGCCCCGACTTTCAAAGGTCGTATCACAAATTTCACGCTGATCAACGCCATTAATTTTGTTTATTGGATGTGCATGCAATGCTAGGAACGCCGCACTTGTGCCACCAAAGAACTCAATTCATTATTGCTTCATCAAGTTGTAATTGGGTGCGCTTGTTTTGCATAATTCCCGTTTAAATTAGCAGCTCTGAACGTCGCCCTGACGCGAGAGTGTGGCCGCTCACGCGCAGCAAACGCGATGACGCGATCATTTGAATTGGTTTCTCCGCGTCCGCTCGCACGGAAATATGCACGCGTCCGTCGCTCTCAAATTACAACCGATAAATTTCCGGAATCGCTGAAAAAAAGTGAACCTCGGTGGTACCCGCGACTGCCTTCTCTCTATTAGAAAATCCATTTGTGGATATTTTCATGATTTATATCAACCTGTGAACGTTTGGTTGATGGGTGGCTGACGTATATATGTCAATACCATCATTAAACCCAAGCACTAACTTTAAACCATGTCGTTGAAAAAATAACTCAAACGAAAAATTATGATAAGCAACAATTTTGTTAGTTTTGTATTGACTGGATCCCGAACCATTAAAACTCGTGAAACTTTCGCGGAATTTGGACCCAAACAGAAAATTCGTCCAATCTAAACCAGCGTCCTGAACTTGACGCTATCGCTTGGCTCGCTCAGCTCCGTTAAAATAATCAATTGAACCAGCAGCTATCAGCAGCAACATCAAAACCGAGACGGGAAATGCTTTTATCAGATGGAAACGATGGTCTCACTTGAGTGAACATATATTTCAGTGCGCAATTCAGCGTGAAATTAGCGACAAAAGCGTCCGGCCAGAGGGACTTGTCAGGGCGGCGGCCATGTTGGCTGCGGCTCGAGGGAGTGTCACTAGCATTCCCAATTTTTCCTCTACTCCCTAATTATAATGGAACTGAAAAAAGGAACTGATTAAGATTTGGGAATAATCACCCTATTAAGAATAATCACCTATTTGATAATAAACGTCCATTTGGGAATAAACGCCCATTTGGGAATAAACGTGCACTTGGGAAAAATCACCCTACTGAGAATAATCGCCCATTTAGTAATAAACACCCTTTCGTGAAAAATCAATCGATTGGTAAAAATCACCCATTCTGGAATAATCACCCATTTGAGGATAATTTTCCCTTTGGGGATAATCACCCATTTTAAAATAATCATCCTATTTGCTTGGGCAATGAGGCTATTATTAATCAGAGCTGGACATACTTAAAATAAACCAATCAATAATATTTTATACCCAAAATTCAGAGGAAATTTAAATAAGAAACCTATGCAAATTCATTTATCACTCATGTTCTGCATTAATATCAATTCAAATTTTTAAATAATGCAAACCAAAAATTTCCAAACCTGATCTGAGTCAAATCTGATTCGAAAATTCCCGACTGAGCATTTACACTGAATTGCCCACAATGCCATTCGCCTCTAATAGAGCGCTCTAAATTCAACATCAGGCTCGCCTCTTTCAACAGCGGTGCGCACATTAGACACACATCACTTCACATCATCAGCCACCGAACATATACAACTCTTCACCGCACCGCTGTGGAGACTACATCCATCACTCCACCACACCGCTGTGGAGACTACATCTATCACTCCACCACACCGCTGTGAGGACCACATCGATCAATTCACCACACCGCTGTGAGGACCACATTTATCACTTCACCGCGCCGCTGTGGGGACCACATCGATCAATTCACCACACCGCTGTGGAGACCACATCTGTCACTACACCACACCGCTGTGGAGACCACATCTATAACTTCACCACGCCGCCACTGACCAAATTTATTTATTAAGTGCCAGAATGACAACCTATATAGAGAAATGCTTGTTTTGAATTATAATTTAATTTATTTAATTGAAATAAATGCCTTGCAATTGAATTTTTAATAATTAAAAATTCATATATATTTGTGAATCCTCTTCGGAATAGAAATAAAAGGACATGGGTCTAAAGAATGCATCGTGGTTCTCTGCTGGATGGTCGCATGCAGTTACACACGTGGCTTGAAATGGAAGCCAAGTCTTATAAGTTGAATTTTTTTTAAATCACGGATATTGGCCTTTCCTGCTTGGAAAAGCAACATTACCCGGAATTTGCAGCCATTGTGTAAAGAGCTGCAGGCACTTGAGTATCACAGCCATGGATCTGAGGTTCTCACCGAGTAACAACGAGTAGCTCGTTCTCTTCAAAAGCTACCGACAAAAGTCATTGGTTCCGCAAATAAAGCTATTTGGCGCATTAGCTTCAGCCTTGTCGGTGCTGTGAAGCGTGCAGTGCTGAACTAACCAGCTGACAAATGATCTTTGCCTCTGACATCTCTCTCACGAACACATGACTTCACTACACACATGTCCACATATGACTTCACTACACACATGTCCACACCGCCGGCGAAACTTCAGTGCATAACCAAATTACCGAGATGCGGTTAAAGTGCTTGCCTCTGGGCGCGTGTAAAAAGATGTGAACACTTGAAAAATCCTACGATTAGAAGCAGTGGACTGAAGAAAATTAAAATTTAGGAGTAAATCGATGAATTTCGCCGCATCGCTCCTCTATTCACATGGAGGAAACGAGTCCTTTAGAGGCAGCCTGCAGGCGCGCACAAAGCAGCGTGTTTCATGGAGCGTTTAGAGGAAAAAACGACCCATGCCATAATGGTGGATGATGACATATGGCGGGACATGACTCTCATGAAGAGCTCTATGAAAACGATACGTTGTAAGAGAGCCACTCGAACTCTCGAGAGCTTGTTGAGTGCGAGAGCTGAATAGCTTCCATTCCACTGCGCCATGCCAGCGTGGGCAATACGTCCAACGTGGCGACATGTGAGTGGCTTTTGATTAAATCAATTTTGAGCAAATTTAACTTGGTTTTATTAATAAATTTATTAATGTTTTGCCATCAAAGACCAGAGTATCCATTTCAGTTACTGATGTAGTAGCCCAGAAATTAATTATGATACTCTCTTTTGTTTAGCTCTTGCGTAATTTTTAGTTTATTGCAGTTTAGCTTTTACTTGGAATGTAAAAGTTAGTTCTTTTTAAAATAATAGTTAATGAGCGCAATGATATTATGTAATACTGATCATAAAAACCATCGAATCATGAAAAATGATTATCCTAATTTACTTATGGAATTCTGTGTAACCATTAACAACATAGTTAAAAAAACCTTCTTTGTGTGTCTAGTCACGTAATTCTTCATTTTATAGGAGTACTTTCCCTTTAAGTTAGGTTCGATAAATGTTTTCATAACCTCTTTTCTTCAAAACAGCGAGCAAAATTCTATATTACTTTTCAAAGTTGTTCAACATAATTAACAACCCTTATAAAGTACCATCGTCTTAAGAAAACATCAAATTAGATTAATGATTTTTAAGCAATGTATGATTAAAAAAGGGGAGTCTCGTTCATATGACCATCATTGCAGGGAATTACGAGACATAAATTCAATGCGTAATTTTAAACTCTGTATATTTTGTATATAAACTAAGCATGTAAATACGTCCAAAGAAGACTGTGAAATTTTCAACTTGATTTTAATTTAATCCTTGTTACTCCCAATTCTGAAGTTTACGAGTGGGTCGCCAAAAATGAATTCAAAATGTCAGAAATGGAATTTTGTGTCGACGACAATTGAAAAATTTTGGTGCGAATGAGGATAAGATGATAGAAGATAAAAGAATGAATTTATTATGCCAAACATAATCAATATTTTAATTGAATTTTAAACGATAGCCCATATTGTGAAAATTCAAAACATTTTCGTTTAAATGTATTTATTGATTCTCAATTAAGACGCAATGCTACAAATACTTATAGACACGTGTTGAAGAAGTAATTGTATGTATCAAATCTGTACACTTCTGAAGTATATTCAACAGTTAAGGAAAATTTTCTTTCCTATTACTTAAATAGGGCGATAGCAGTAATCTTGCAAATGAAACAATAAGTGTCTATTTTTAACATAAAGAACAAAGTCTAAGATTTTAAGTAGTAAATAATGTTATATATGCAAAAATGTCAAAACCTAAACTTTTGGAATGTCCTTCTTCTTCCCTGGAACAAATTTTTTACAGATTTCGCCAAAATATTAAATTTACAGTCGCGAAACTAAATTCCCATGCCCATTGAGGGTATTAGTTGTTACAGCTTGGTTACCGGAGACGTCATTCAGGCGTGAATTATAGAATCTAAACAACGACAGAAAAGTCTACGGAGGCGCCAGTCCATTTTTGAAGACTCAATGCGAATTCACAAGATATTTTACGGATGCGCGCGAAGAACTTTCCTTGTAATTAATTTTACCAATTAATGGCTGAGTAAAGTAACAAATATATGAAATTTCCGATGACTAGCAGTAGTAAACACTCTAGTTATTGTACGGATGACACTCTGTCATTGGAGTCCAATGAGTACACTAACACTATAGCCTAATAGTTTATCGAGTACACAGCACAAGGAGTTCAAGGAGAACACAGCCCTAGGAGTTCTACGAGTACACAGCCCTAGGAGTTCAAGGAGTACACAGCCCTAGGAGTTCTACGAGTACACAGCCCTAGGAGTTCAACGAGTACACAACCCTAGGAGTTCTACGAGTACACAGCCCGAGTTTAGTAGCAGCAGTGGTATCGAATGCCTATTCATAAAGAAAATCATGCGAAGAAAAAGTCAAGTTAGGAATGCAAATAAAATAGAGTCGTTGGCTTGAGCTGATCTCGTTATCTCTCCATCACGTCATGGGGCGCAAACAAAAACTATTGATAATAAAAATTCGTTTGCGAGTTGACATTCACTGCCAAGACCACAATAAGCTATGAATGTTCTGCGATGTTAAGAATCGGCGACAGGCCTACGGCCTAATAAGCGCTGAAAACGCTATATTATATTACATTATAAGGATGTCTCAGAAGGAATTGTTGAGTCTTCCTTGAAATTGCTCAGTCACCTGTGGATTTCTTTGCAAGCTACTGAAGACGTGCAGAAGAAAACGATCGCCATTAGTTCAGGTGAAGCCCATCTTTCTGGGCCGGTGAACTGCCGCTGGGCAAGGAAACGTATTCGGTGATCATAGTTCTATGATAATTTTGGCTCTTAGATTGGAATTGGAATAAATGCTTTGGAATCTAAATGTTTATCAAAAGGGATAATAATGGAAAAACGTGATAATGAAAACGTTTATCAAAAGTGATAATGAAAGTAAAAAAAGATACTACAAAATTGCAATGTGCAGAAGGAATTTCCGATGCCTTTAAAATATTTTGGTACTCCTCTTATTTTAATGCTTGACTTTGAACTCGTATAACTGCGCTGAGTCTAAGGAATATTGATCTTCATACGCGAATGGATAAATTTTCTCGCTCTAATGCTATTAGAACAGAAACAGTCGTCCGTGTCGAGTGATTCTGCTACACCGATTTTTCATCCACTTTATCGATGTTTGCCTCATTGGGTCCTTTTATTGTATCAATTATATTTTAGTACACATTCTTCTGTCGCCTTAAAACTCCATTTTCACCCTTCCACATCTTGTTCTGCTGTCTTTTCTCCGTCTTCCGTCCTATATTCAGAAATATGTAAGCCTGCTCCTTAAAAATTCCACCCCAGGCATTTCATTCACTTTTACCATCGTTTATCTTCTTTGAATTACTACTTATATTTTATCTTCTTCTTTTTATGTATTTCATCTTATTCTGCGTTGTATTATCTTATCATCTTCTGATTTTCTAACTTTCATCTTTAGTTCTTCTATCTTTTATCTTCTAGGAGTCGTCACGCATAGATGGCTCATATATAGCCAAGGGAATTCCTCGTCTTGAACATATATATAAATATTAAAAACATATTTGTTTATTAAACAAATTAAACATATTTTGTTCAATGACTCAAGCTGGTTTAATCCCTCAAAACAAAATATTGGTAATAATTATTCAAAAAAACTTGTCAAGCGTTAAAAAACTAACTTTTAGTAAGTTAGTTTACTAAAAAAAGAAAATTATTACATTAACCCAGCAACATCGGAGAAGTAATTTTTCTACGCAACAAAATACAAATCAAAGAAAATAAAATAAATAATAAATCATTTACCTTTGGTAGTCAGTTAAACATTCTACTGTTAAATAATGATAACATTTGACCAAGAGCCATATAATATGTCACAAGACAACGTTGTTTTGTCAGGCAGTCGAGCAGGCTGCCGTTATTAAGTAAATTGACTATGTATTTTTAAGTTTGATTGCAACATTTTTCGTCAAATAGACACACAACTGTCGCTCATAAACTCTACATATACGAGTTGGTCAGTGCCATTAAAGTTACGATGTCTTCGTCAGTTAGTTTGTTTTTGACCGAAAACCCGACACACAGCCTCGACAGTTAAAAATTATTTTACGCCAGCCAACTGCACCAACAGATTTTTACATAAATTTATCGACGATAATTTTTTATTTACTTACATGTAATCGCGAGCATAATAAAGCGACTGAGTAATAAAATGAGAAAGTTGAACAGGAACAGCAACGAAGATGGGGCAGTTGAACAGGAACAGTAACGAAGATGGGACAGTTGAACAGGAACAGTAACGAAGATGGGACAGTTGAACAGGAACAGCAACGAAGATGGGACAGTTGAACAGGAACAGTAACGAAGATGGGACAGTTGAACAGGAACAGCAACGAAGATGGGACAGTTGAACAGGAAAAGCAACGACGATGGGACAGTTGAACAGGAACAGTAACGAAGATGGGACAGTTGAACAGGAACAGCCAGAAAGAAAAAGGACAGGTGAACAGGAACTAAATAACACTTTTATGGAAGAAGAATAATTGTAAAATTGGGCACAGAATTGTAAAATTGGACGCAAAATTATTAAATTGGACGCGAAATTGATAAAAATATATATAACTCAGTGCTTACTGCAGTGCGTGACTGAGAGCGCATTTTCTCGTCGACGAAAATGTGAAGTCACGGACGGACAGACAGACGGACAGACAGACAGACGGACAGACAGACAGATGGACAGACAACCAGGCCGACATGGCGAGCACAATAGTGCATTCTTTCCATAAATGAGAAAATACGCTAAAAATTGAACGCAGAATTGTAAAATTATAAGCAGAATTTTAAAACCATAAGCAGAATTGTAAAATTATTGGCAGAATTATAAAATTGGACGCAGAATTGTAAAATTACGAAGAATTGTAAAATTGAACGATGAATCAAAGTCGTGAAAAGCTAAAATATTATAGATTAATGTGTCGTCAAACCAACGAATTTCACGCTGCTCAATTTTGCATTGTAAGTCCAAGAATGGATAAAATTGCACAAAATATTGAACTTTTATATTAGAGACATAATACCCGTGGAATGAGTGCTAGTTCAAGGAAGATGACGAAGTCCGTAGACTTTCAACATTCGGTGGCACCGCAAATAAATTGAACACAACGAAGACGAGAGAGTTTTGTTGGTATATTTTTTTCTAACTTCAGGTACTCATTTTTCATGCAAACTGAATTTTCAAGTGAAGAAATCTTTTCAACGTAAGAAACTGAATGCAACGCATGCATGATCTTCGTACGAAAACACACATTGAGAATACAAGTCATTAATACAAACATCGACTTGGATTGAAAAATTTTCAGCATATACGATAAATAAAGAGTTACTGAAATAAACTAAAACCTTTAAACACAACCAAACATGCATTTAATTTAGGATCTTTTTAACAACTTAATATTTTAGCTTCGCTTCGAACCAAATACAAAAGAAAAATCAAGGGTGCATGAAATGCATCTCACCGAGAATATTAAGTAATCTTTCAGTCAGAGCATCCACAGTTTTTTAAATAAAAACGCCGGTTGTCACATGTCTGGCCTGTTATGTTAAGGCGGTAATTTTCAATAGGGGATTGTCAGGACGCAAGTCAGCGATTTTTTTGTAGGATTTCTTCTCTTCAGGATTTCTGGACGACAGATTTGATCGGCGTTTGATGCAGCATGGATGAGGATCGTAAAAGCGTCTTCGCAAGTTACGACTCTCATTTGACTTGCAGAGCAGGGAACTGTGTGCCTTTGACGACCAACGACACCTAAAATGGTGGCAACGGTGTTACTTTGAGTGAGTACTTGTGTCATAATACGACACCTAGAATGCAGGATAGTGTTACTTTGATAGCCGACGCCACCCAAGATGGCGACCAGTTTTATTGAGACCGCAGGAGTATAAATGACCGATAAAAAATACAGTGGAAAATGTTACTTTCGGGAGTCACGCGTACTAAATGGTATTGACAATTAACTGGCGTTATTTCGCATGTCCAGCCCATAATAAAATGTGTTCTTTAATGGAAAACTAAGTTACGTAAGTAGCTTTGGAGATCGGGAACACAGATATTGCTACAAGTATTTGGACGAGTCTTGAAACAAAGCTCCTACGTTTGGACATCGAAAAAAAAAAAAAAATCTCGTCGAGTCAGCAAAATGTCTCAGCGCTAACGAGTATAAGTATTCGGACAAACAAATAGATTTCATCTACCAAATTGTGAAATTTTTGGCACGCAGCACTTCTACGATCTTTTGTCGAGCCATACAGGGTTAGCATGACTAACACAAGGACATGAGAGCATCGTTAACTGGACAAAGACTTCCACATTTATCTTAGTGTGATAACTATACTTGTATACAATATCCGTGTCTCAGCGCTACCGAGCATAACAAGAAGCCTTCTTTAGAATCCAAGGCATCTGAAAACTTTAAAGTTTAGGCCTGTATTTTTTTTTCGCCAGCAAAGCGTGTAGCGAATTTGAAAGAATAAATTAGGATCTATGACGGTCTGGTATGTATAAATAAAAGGCAGTTAGAAGTAAGCGTTTACATATCACAAATTGAGCACAATTAATCTTTCAATTGCTAAGCAACTACTTTAAAATTGTTATTCTCTATAAAAATTTGGCTTTCACCACTTCAATGCTTTTAAAGCAAAATGGATTCTTTGGACGAACTAGATCTTATTTTGATTGATCCGCCTTCAGAGTTTATGTAATTGGCGTTACTATGAGTATTAAGAGTGAGTGATGAGTGATGAGAGTGCTTATTGCGTGAGTATTGGGAGTGAGAGGTGAGAGTGTTTATTGAGTGAGTATTGAGAGTGAGAGGTGAGAGTGTTTATTGACTGAGTATTGAGAGTGAGAGTGTTTGTTGACTGAGTATTGAGAGTGAGAGGTGAGAGTGCTTATTGACTGAGTATTGGGAGTGAGAGGTGAGAGTGTTTATTGACTGAGTATTGAGAGTGAGAGTGTTTGTTGACTGAGTACTGAGAGTGAGAGGTGAGAGTGCTTATTGACTGAGTATTGGGAGTGAGAGGTGAGAGTGCTTATTGAGTGAGTATTGAGAGTGAGAGGTGAGAGTGCTTATTGAGTGAGTATTGGGAGTGAGAGGTGAGAGTGCTTATTGACTGAGTATTGAGAGTGAGAGGTAAGAGTGCTTATTGACTGAGTATTGAGAGTGAGAGGTGTGAGTGCTTATTGAGTGAGTATTGAGAGTGAGAGGTGAGAGTGTTTATTGAGTGAGTATTGAGAGTGAGAGGTGAGAGTGTTTGTTGACTGAGTATTGGGAGTGCTATTTAGCGAGTATTGATAGTGAGTGATGGGAGTGAGTGCTGAGAGTGTTTATTGTGCCAGTATTGAGAGTGATGTGTGCGGTAAGAGTGCTTATTGCGGGAGTATTGACAGCGAGTGGTGAGAGTGAATGATGCGAGTGCTAATTGAGTGAGAGATGGAAGTAAGTGGTGAGAGTCATTATTGAGGGAGTGGTGAGAGTGAGTGATGAAGCACAAGATGTTTAATGCAATGTTCATGCAGCATCACAGCCGAAGAGCAGCGCAATGAGAATCCCTCATTTTCCCCCAGTGACAGCAACGCTTCATAGGTAGACATTTTATTCAGTCTTCAACTTCACGACTTTTATGAATACAATGATACATTCATAATACAATTTATTTTATATGACACAAGAGAGAGGAAAATTTCAATTTTTCATAAGAAAAATCATCGCAAGCTAGTAACTAAAATAGGCTGAGCGTTTGACGTTCAAAGGATATAATTTGCTTGAAAAATTTGTGAACCCAAGCCTCTTTAAAATACGCAACTGAATACGCAACTGATGAACACACATAAATTATACTCGTCTTTTATGCGCTTGAACGGTAATGGCCTTGAAAACTTCCTAGCATTTCAATCACTTAACGTAAGTGGTGACGAAAATAGATTACATTGAAAAATATTCTTGATACCAGTCCATTAATATATTGAAGTTCCTACGATCAATCACAGCATTGGTATTGTGAAATCTCCTAATGACGTTGTGGACTTCACTATTATTATATTACCACTATTATTTTTCTTTGAACTTCAAAAAATTATATACCCATCGTAATGCCCTGCTGCTCCTGCAGTTCAAAAGTGACAAAAGTGCATGAGCAGTTGTTCAAATATGAACATCTGTTAAAAAAATAGATCGAATGGCCTAATTGTAATATTAGATTATCACCTTGAAGCATCCCGAGTAAAGAGATATGGAAGGAGAAAGGCGATGAAAGCTTTCAGAAAATTCCTTGTAATGTTAAACGTATAAGCCAACTCCCAGGACACTATACTTCCTCAGGACGGTGAAAATGTATAGAGGACATCACGACAGAAATTGTACGGACGTGCGAACGTTGGCAGGATACGAGAAATAGAGAGCAAATGTCAACGATTTACCACTAACGTCATACGTAATTTAGCGGTCTGCAGTAACATTTCCTCATTTAATATTGAAAATTTCCCGTCATTTATTACCCATTTTATGGTACGCACATCCATCTCGCACTAAAATGTCGCTGAATCTTAAAAACAACATCCTCGCTTGAAGAGCATTTCTAGAAAACGCATTCGAGCGTAAAATTTACTTACAACAATTCGATAACCTTTAATCCAACAGGAAGTTCAGTGTATATACCAGTAGCTTTACCAAACTGTCTGACATCCATACATTTATTGTGGCATTTAAAGCCATTTAGGCCATTTAATTAAAAGCCACAACTTGGGTCTTGTGGAACCATCGCTCTATTGTCAGTGAAAAGTCTGCTCAAATATACCTTGTCGATGGTACCCCATCTGCAGTACAGAAGGATACCTTGACAATGGCAAGCAAGTACTAATGGATACCCTGTCAATGGTTCTTCAATTACAGATGAATAATACCTTACCAATGCAACTGCAAAAATAAATGGCACTGCAAGTAAAGGTGACCTTGTCAATACTAGTACTTCAAGTACAAATGAAAATGCTTAACACTACGTAATCTAAAATCAAGTTGTGCACAGAGATCAAGGGGCTACACGCCCTCACAAGCGCTGGAATGTTAGTTGAGAGGACCGGAAACTCTCTCGTCCTCCGTCAGCCAAGTCTTCGTCGGTAGCGTTAGCGAAGACTCGGTCACTGACATCGCCCGGAGTCTCAGCTTCGCCGAAAATTCCATCGGCACGACGATCAACTTCGCCTTCCGAGCTGCCGGACGAGACGACGTCATCGGGGCAGTCCGGGACCAAAGGTCTAGGTCTGAAAAGCCTGGGTATCCTAAACCTCTCCGACACAGTTGACTTCACCCGAGTCCAAGTCTGAGCGGCTCTAGCCCAAAGACTCGTGCTGGGACCAGAAGGAAGTGACAAGCATGGATCGTCCGGCACGTCAATATTTTGCTGCAACGTCCCTTCTACGTCATCTGCTTCATCAAGGTCTTCAGTGGGATGCCTGGGAAACGAATGATAGTCCGGGAAGGGCGATCTGTTCCTTAGGCCCATAACACTGGTGATCCAATTCTTGGCTGAATTTAGGTTGGAGCGAACACTAGACGATAAAAACCCTTCCTCGTCCCGTATATTTGTCTCCACTTCTTCGTTTTGCGGCGGAGGCTGCTCTGGCACCACTCCGTTGCCGTTCTCAACCACGTGCTCTTCCGAAGAGTAGACATTGCTGTAGGAACTTCCACCGTCAGGAGGAGCCCGCCTCAGTGTTCGGTAGAAGCAAGCCGAGGCTTGGGTGTAGAGGAAAGCTCCAGCCCTACGAGCAGCTCGCCAGTATTGGAGGTTAGGCGGCGGGAAGGGAGGCGAGTGTCGCTCTCGGTATCGTTGATAAGCAAGGCCAGTGCTTAGGATGGTGAACCACAGCGTCAGCAGGACGATGTCTGCAGGATGAATGCCAATGATGCTGGATTAGTAGTAGCGAAGATGTACAAACGAATAATAACCACAATCAGGACTAGGTGAATTGTTGGGATGAGCGGCAGATTTGTGGTCGCTGAGATAAATGCGATTAAAAAATCACAAAATTCAATTCCCATTCCACCCACTACAAGTTCAGGAAGACAACCCAACCACAATGAGTGTGAATGAAAACCACCCCTTCCACTAAAGGGTCTGGAGGCCAACCCTCATCACCCACCACAAGATCTGGAGGACAACCCACCCCACCCACCACAAGTCTGGAAGGGCGGGAAGCCTATGGCGGCGGTGTAGCCAGGGACGGTCATGGCGGCCACGGCGTTGATGGCGATGTAGTTGAGGGTGCAGCCGAAGTAGAAGGAGAGCGGCACGGTAGCGGCGTACGAGCCAACCAACACGCACGACAAGATGTGAACCTGACACGCACGTACCCGACGTGTTGTAGTTATTGGGTAGTGGTAGGTGGTAGTGGTGGTTGGTGGTAGTGATAGTAGAGGTAAAAGTTTACTCAACAGCTTTGAATCGGGGCAGACTCCCCTCGATAGGGCAAAATCAACATATAACTGAAAATTGATTGTACATGTACATGCCCGGTGATTTTCGAACAATGAAAAAATACGAACTATACCCGCAGTAAGAATTTTTGCAGGTTACTGATTGTGACCGCACAACTCGTTAGAATACATTAAGAAAACCTGTTCTCAGGACCCACAGCCTTGGTGTACTTCGAGGTACATGTTCACAGAAAGTCAAAGCCTGGAAGCGGTCGGTTATTCTGGACTGCGTCGTGAAATCATTGCTTGGTTTTCCCACCAGCAAATTTATACTATCGAACGTATGGTTATTGTGAAATGATATTTATAACTGCAAGGATTTTTAGGAAACGGCATCTTCCAGTTATCCTCTATCTCATTTAACTTTTTTCTCGTCGGGTTCTGCCCGAACACAGGCACTCAGCACGGTGACAGATGAGTAATGAAACGACGTCTGTGACTTCTCATATGTTCAACAAAGCCTTTCTAGGAACAGTTAGTATAGGGTATTTTCTCTAAAGGTGTGATTAGGCACGTTTGTAACTAGTTTCTGATCTATACATTTCGGGTATTTCTCAGTGGAAACACTGATGAATATTACATACAATAGACATGTTAAAAAAAGTATACGAGTGGCACAATCTATGAATGTTGATATGTACGAATTTCCTTTAAGATAAGTGTTTTAATAAAGATGTAACATTTATTTTGTTACTTGCGTCGACTTCAAATAAATAATTGCGATGCATAAGAAATTTCAGTTATATTCTTTAAGAGTAGTTTTAGGGAAACCTATTAATAAAAGAATCCCATAGAATACAGACAAGCCGGTCTCGCGGCTCCGAACCTGGGCCTTAAGAAGTGGACGGCAAGGCTGTTTTCCGGCTTTCTTACTCGGCCATGTATGGAATTGTTATCAATTTTGGAATTGTTATGAATCTTTCCGTAACTGAAAGAACTCACGGTCTTGATGAAGTATAATGAATGAGTGATCAGACTGCTTTTGCAATTCTATATTTAAGAAGTGGGCGATTTTATATATTTCTTCAACGCTCATTCAGTCTTATAAAGAACTTTTACTGCTAAAATTATTATCAATATTGATTTAATTGGAGGAACTCACGGCCTTGATGTTCCTGAAGGAGTAGGCGACGAGGCAGAGCGCGAACAGCACCGGGATTACCACGAACACCGCAACATTAGAAGGTGTCGGCACCAGCGCGTCTGATCCAACACATACGTACCGCAAAGTTCAAGTTAATATATTCCGTCAAGAACTAACATCGTTAAGGTGTAGCTTAATAAAATATAACTATAAACGTTGAAACTAAATTAAATGAGAGACGAGTGTTATTACGATAAAAAATGATCACAGAACAGTCAAATTGCGTACAGAGGCGAGATCTGGTAAGATCACAAGCTTACCCTAACAAAATTTAGATGCGGGTTAAATAGGTGCTGTCTGCAACTCGGGGTGCACGCAATTCACCCGCTCTATATGTCCGATTCGACTCTACGTTTGAAATTCAGCCTCTGGGCGGCTTGCAAACTCAACGTGACTAGGCTCGGCTAACCCTTATCCTACTCTCGGGCATTCGGACCCGCTGAATAACCCAGAATAACTTTAAGCCGAGTGTAGCGACTCTTGGGCAGAAACCTAGGCGGTATCTGAATTTCCTTTAGATTATTGACAGATGATGAAATTTTTAGCGGGATTGACGTAACACAAAAAGTAACATGGCACAAAATACATTGAATCGCCGTGACGATGTTTGGATATCAGCATCGTGTAGTGGTCGTTTCGAACGAGTAGGAGAGACAATCTATTTAGGGTGCAAGATTTCAGTCCACGCGCTTGATAAAGAGAGAAATCTGGACACAAATGCTATCCACGGACTTTATTTCGGACAATGACAATGCCAATATGCCTTACTAGTGCCAGTCAAAATGCCATTTCTAGGCAGAAACACAAAAAAGCAGAACTTAATATAATAAAAAAAGAAAAAAATTTAAGCAAATAAAATAATTAAATGATGACTCACATTTAAGGAAGTGAAAAAAATTGAAGCAATACAAAAATAATAATTAAATGGCGACTCACATTTGAGGAAGTGTGTGGTGGTCATGGCAGTAAGCAGACCGGCCTCGAGGATGACGAGGAGAGCAGACACGAAGGGCCGCTGCAGCTTGTGCCACAGCAGCAGCCACAGCACCCCACACACCAGGCTGTACTCGAACGTGCCTAGTGCCAGCACTGTCAGGCATGGCCATAATGTGCCTTATTAGGGCCAGCACTGGCAGACATGGCCATAATATGCTTTATTAGGGCCAGACATGGCCATAATATGCCTTATTAGGGCCAGCAACATGGGTATTCCTGATTAGTGGCAGTGACAATGCCAATATGCCATATTAGTGCCAGTGACTGAACTAGATTTACAGCACAAGCATTGTGAGCGACACTGCCGCAATTGATACTTGCTTGTAGAAATTATTCTCAGTAGCACAACTATCAACTTACTAAATTAATAACTTGTTAATCTCAACAATCAACAAGTACAGGAAGTTCAAACGATGTCCGCTTCACCCTAACTAAAATAAACCAAACAATTTCGGCTTAAATCCCAACCATGTTGCTTGATTTATGTATGTTTAAACCGACAATCAAACCCATGACGAAAATTAAAGCGAATAATATTAATCTTCAACTCACTGTGGAGGTCAGCTTTGGGCACGTGCACGAAGGTAACGAAGAGAATGAACCACGCGCCCAAGAAGCCTGCGGTGAACATCGTGAAGTTAAGCCAGCGGTGACCCACGAAGCACAGCACCAGGCCCACGAACAGCAGACTTGCACAGAACATCTGCGGCAGCGGGTCAACTGCCCAACACAACAACCGACTTCACGTATACCATCTTTTTAAATTAAATGGCCCGTACTTTTGGCCTAGTTTACTAGCTCGTACTATTAAATAGCCCGTAATTTAATAGTACGTAACATCTGCGGCAGCGGGTCAACTGCCCAACACAACAAGCGCCTTCGTGTATAATACTGTATAGTTTACTCATACTATATTAAATAGCCCGTAGTTTTGGTCTGGTTTACTCATACTATATTAAATAGCCCGTAGTTTTGGTCTGGTTTACTCATACTATATATTAAATAGCCCGTACTTTTGGCCTAGTTTACTCATACTATATTAAATAGCCCGTAGTTTTTGTCTGGTTTACTCATACTATTAAATAGCACGTAATTTTGGCCTAGTTTACTCATACTATTAAATAGCCCGTGATTTTGGCCTAGTTTACTCATACTACATTAAATAGCCCGTAGTTTTGGCCTAGTTTACTCATACTACATTAAATAGCCCGTAGTTTTGGCCTAGTTTATTCATGCTATCAAACTGCCCGTGCTTTTGGTCTAGTTTACTCATACTATCGGTATGAACAGCGGAGAAATAAAACTTAAGACAAAATACTTCCGAGTATAAGCCAATAAGACTATATAACCGCCGCTACGTACCTCACTATGTACTAGTAAATTGATTTAGACGCAGCATAGTTCAGGATATTGTGTACAGTGAGTTTCGAAAATTTAGAATTCAATTTTCCTTAGCCGTGTGGAATTTAATTGTTGGAAGTTAAGTAAATAGAATATAATAAAGTAAAAGAACAATTCAAAATTTTCCCTACTTCTCTCTCCGTTTTGTGTTACTAGTCGTCATTCGTAACATTTTTTTCAAAGAAAGATTAAAATTACTCATACTATATTAAATAGCCCGTAGTTTTGGTCTGGTTTACTCATACTATATTAAATAGCCCGTAGTTTTGGTCTGGTTTACTCATACTATTAAATAGCCCGTAATTTTAGTCTAGTTTACTCATAGTATTAAATCGACGGTAATTTTGATCTAGTTTATTCATACTATCAGAATGAACAGCGGAGAAATAAAACTCAAGACGAAATAATTTCGAGTATAAGCCTCTAAGACTGAATAACCGCCGCAACGTAGCTCACTATGTACTAGTAAATTGATTTAGACGCGGTATAGTTCAGGATATTGAGTACAGTGAGTTTCGGGAATTTAGAATTCAACTTTCCTTAATCGTGTCAAGAATCAACAAAAATAATAGGGTACCCAATAAGGTTTAATGTTTTAAATGTAAATAAATGTTTTACATTGTTTGATCGATTATACTTGTATTCTAATTGTAAACTGATGATAAAGTTCTCCGATAGTTGTTGAGTGAAATCACGGGAGATTCTCAGAATTTTTTTTTTTGTTGCTTTCAAATTTTCAACTAATTTGCTATTGTGGGCAATTAAATTACAGAAATATTCATCAATCCACCGATATGCGTGGAATATACACAGATCAGAGCACGTTATCATATATGTACCTTTATACAAACGAACCACTACACACCTGCACGGATCTACATATCAACATACTATGACTTACCACACACACCAACATACCATCACTCACCCACACATCTACAGTCTATCACGTACTTGAACAACATGCACTTACCCACACACTACCACACGTCCACACACCACTTACTTAAGCAGTATGAACTAACCCACACACTAACACACATCCATACACCACAATATATACACACTCCGTAACACCCCTCACCCACCCAGTTTCGTGCAGCGATGTTGTTCGTCAGGAATGAAGTCACATCCGTATGATACGGACGAGGAGTACAGGGACCCGTTCGTGAGGCGCAACACGTCGTGCGCAGACGTGTTGGCAACACGCACGTTCGTCACGAGCACGCTTATGACGGCGCCTACACCAGAGTACGAAACGAACAAGTATGACGGAGGCGACGACGTGTCGTTTGAATCCGACAGAAACGAAGCCACCTTTGTGGAAAGACAAATGTTTCTAGGGTTTATTTTATACTATAATTTGCAGAGTGTTTATAATAATTTTCTTTTGCGTGTATAAAATAATCATTTAAAAGTTATTTAATAAAGTTAAGAAAAGCTCACTGGAGACATTTTAGACGTCAGTCTACAGCCATGGAAGAGAATGAAGCAACGAGGGACTAAAAATTTTTTCCCTGTATAAAGTTAATGAGAAAAACATTAATAGCAAATAAAACTTGAAAAAAACGTAACAAAGGGAAGTCAGATAATTAATATTCTGAAGATCAAAATTATTCCGAAATATCGACTGAAAACTGACATTTTATCAAAGGTATGACTAGTTAGATCAGAAAATAGTTTGAAAAGTTTTTTATTTCAGAAAACAGTTTCACCTTGAGGGCACGCGCTCGCAGCAGTTGCGGTGAACTCGTCTCCACGACAGTACGCCAGTAATGCTCCTCCTGCATGTCACCTTCGTACATGTACGACAAGTACACCTCGTACAACAACTTCGTCTGACCACTCTCACCATCGTCCAAGATGCTGTTCGTCGTCACTGCTGCCGTACTAGAAGGTGATATGGCCTCCGTAGTTACGTCGTTTCTCAATTTACGTTCTGCAGATTTCTCGTTTCTAGAGTCGCTGCTGAAAATATGCTTCCCGGAAAAATTTACTTGAGAACTCCGGGTTAGAGACTCGATGGAGTCATGACTATCGTTGCTATTTCGAAAACCAGACTTAATTTTTTTGGTCACAAAGCTAAACAAATGAGAGATGAGAGACGAGTCTTGTGTCGCATTAAAGCTCTTGTGTTCCGCAGTATCACTAATCAGACTGTCCGATTTTTCCACACTGGTTTTAACTGCGGTCTTCGTGTGGATTTTAATACGCGGGGAGTTGTCCCACGACGCGTTATCTTCCCCACTAAAGGCGCGTAGAGATGGGGAAGCGGGAGGAACCGTAACTAATGTAGTGAGGATGCTGGGGAATAGCTGCAAGTATGGCTCAGGCATTGGGGAAGCGGCAGCCCCTCCAGGGATAGGATCTGTTGCAGATTTATAAAACGAAACATAATTAAATTTATGATGAAACGAAACAGAATTAAAATTATGAAACGAAATTATGTTTCGTTTCATGCTGAAACGAAACATAATTTCGTTCGAAACATAATATGCTGTTTCGTTCATCATTATTTTAAATTAAGAAACGAAATATAATTAAATTTAATAAGGTTGATGAAGAACAAATTGACTGACGTTCTGAATGTCACGAACCCCAGTCAGATTTCTGTTCAGTAATACAATATCTCGATGTAGTGAACGTATATGCTAATGAAACTCTAAATTACTCACAAATGCAATATCTATGGAGCAATATAAATTTATTGTCATTCTGCACACAGTTCTCTCACTTTGATGTCTTATTCATTCCCATTAACGTCTAGAATCTCTTTAACATAATTTAATATCTATAGATCATAACACACAAGTTTTTAACATGTAAGATGAATATTTTCACTTTGATGCCGTATTTATTCCATTACCGTCTTGAATCTCTTTAATACACCCTTAATTTAATATCTATAGATTATACACACAAATTTTTAACATGTAAGATGCATATTATCAATCTATAGAAGCATTTGAAATTAATTAGGTTTATTAACATGTAAGATGAGTATTTTTAATCTGGAAAACATTTGGCATTAATTAGGTTAATTTTTCAGTAAATATAACCACTGACCGCGGTTGGTGTAGGGGCGCACTAATAGCAGCACCTGCAGCACAGCGTGGTGAGCGTTGGTGATGTACACAAGTGGTGGCAGCGGCCGGGAGGCGTTCAGAGGCACAAACAGACCAGCGTTTGTGGCGTTGGTATAGTTACCTGCCACCAGCTCACTATATGCAAAGAAAGGATGGAATATAGCCGTGAGCGAAGTAAATTACACGGAATAGAATATATAGAATGAACCGTGAGTAAAAAACAGACAACCATAAAAGTTATACGAGCTCCCTATGCAAAGATATCATAGAATATAACCGTGGGTGGAGTAAATTACACGGAATAGAATACATAGAATGAAGCGTGAGTGAAAATAGACACCAATAAAAGTTATACGAGCTCACTATGCAAAGAAAGGAAGGAATATAGCCGTGAATGCAGTATATTTTACGAAAGAGAATACATATAATGAACCGAGGGTGAAAACAGACAACAATAAAAGTTATGTAGGAACACGAAAGAAGGTATAGGCAGTTTTATCACACACAGCATCTTAAAAAACGTGCATGCGATTGACGACACTCGACAAAAACATGTCAGCACAAAATGAAGGATAGGGTACTATTGTAAAATTTTCGCGAGAGACTTTGTTAAGGATTTACTACATATATTGCATTAGAGAAGTTTGTGCTTGTTACGAAATATTATATTGAGTAATGATTTCTCAAACTCTGAAAAAATTCTAGGTGTACCGGTAGTATATTTTTGAGTACCGAATTTATGTAAATAAAATAATCAGGTTTTCGAGATTAATGAGATATTGTGGTACCGATTACCATGGTATAGCGGTACCAATTACCGAGGTATTGCAGTCTCGATTACCGAGATATTGCAGTCTCGATTACCGAGGTATTGCAGTCTCGATTACCGAGATATTGCAGTCTCGGTTACCGAGGTATTGCAGTCTCGATTACCGAGGTATTGCAGTCTCGATTACCGAGGTATTGCAGTCTCAATTACCGAGATATTGCAGTCTCGATTACCGAGGTATTGCACTCTCGATTACCGAGGAATTACCGAGGTATTGCAGTCTCGATTACCGAGGTATTGCAGTCTCGATTACCGAGGTACCGGTATGACAGTCTCGATTACCGAGGTATTGCAGTCTCGATTACCGAGATATTGCAGTCCCAATTACCGAGGTACCGTATTTTAGTCTCGATTACCGAGGTATTGTAGTCTCGATTACCGAGGTATTGCGGTACCGATTACCGAGGTATTGCAGTCTCGATTATACCGAGTTATTGCAGTCACCGGGGTATTGACACAGAGCCTTCAATTAACAAAATATTCATAATACAGGCTAGATTACTGTGTTATTGCAACTTCATAGCCACAGTATTAAATTTATACTGACAGTGTAACAATTTTACCCAACACATCATGTATGTTTCCTACTAGCAAATAGCAATACCCAAAGTCATCACACAATCAATGCACACTCTTTCACTTCAACCCAACCCTATCTTCCAATCAATGTGCAGCATTCAACTTGAACCTAGACCTATCATAAAATCGGCCAATAATGTTCAAATTTCACACAAACTTCTCATTCAATCACTACAATATTCAAATGTGAATTCATGATCTAATAATCAATGACGGCATTGAGTTTAGATTTAACCTAAAGCAATAAAAATCACTTGAAAATGTTCAAATCGCAATAGGAAAATCAATCATTTATGATCAGAAGACTCAGTAGCAAACTTAATATTTAAACTATAACCACACATCATAAGCCCATTGTGCAAGACATGATACTATGGGCAGTCATGGATTGCGAATTACAATGCAAGGCTAATCAAGAAAGATCAAATTTGACAGACAATACTCTAAAAGAAAGCATACCTATTTAAAGGTATCATACAAACTTATTTACAATACAAAGACATTTGTTGTTTGTGGGTTCATGTCACATTAAATAGCTAACAAAAATATTTACTTGGAACCATAACACTCACGGCTGGCTAGAGAGAAGGATGTAGCGGCTTTGAGAATGTGCTTGCACTATCAGGAATGAGGTGTTGCTGAAATTCACCCCTTCAATCCTTACTTTAGTGGATGTGTTAGAGTCAAGACTCACTATTTTGTAATTACAGTCCATAGGGTAGATGATTGAGTCTGTAAAGAAACACAGATATACAATAATTGGAGAATGTTTTGGTGAGCTGAGAAGTCATTCAAAGCTTATCAGTCTGAAAAAAATTACAATCTACATAGTTTCCATGAATCTTAGTTAGTGCTTGTACCTAGCTATAGGTAGTACTAGGTAGTTTCAATCCAATTATCTTCAAAAAATAAAATTCTTCTGAAAAATTTGATTTTCGGCAAAAATTCAGCCAAAATTTTAAGATAAATGACACATAGAAACTTGGAGAGACACTTGACATGCCCAGGTAAGCCATCAAGACCAAATCCCAAATTAAAGTCAAGCAGCAATGATAAATCCATTTTTTTATTCATCCAACAATTTTTATGTGAATTACAAAAAAAAATATTTTTTTTTGCAGCATTTTATAATTGATAATGAAAAAAACATTTATGGAAAAATAATAGTATTATTGATAAACTACAAACAAATTAAAAAGTAATCATTAAAATTTACTAGTAAACAATTTTTCATCTTATTAGAATTGGTATTTTCCAGAATATGCTTTGCCAGAAATAATTAGCCTTCAATTCTAGCAAATTGTGCACAAGCCCCTACAACATCAGTTCGACTTACTACATATTAGTCAAACTGATGATGGAGCTGGACTCTGAAATGTTTTCAATCTCAATATAGTGAATTTTCTTGGCGTTTTCTTTGCTTTTAAATTCCTTGTGAACTTGCGATATAAGCAGACTAATGATATAAGTACTCCCTTACAACTACTCTTACACGAGATGAAAACACCCACTCATGCTTGCAGGCCATTTCATGCAATATTTTGGTCAACTCTGTGCCTTCAATGCCTCATTTCTTTTACATTAAATAAGAAAAATGACCTAATTTTTACTTTTTACTTTTGGAAATTACATAAAAATGGAAAATTAAATGGAAAATTCTGCTTAATATTTCAGATTAGCTTAGCTTGCCTTCAGAAGGTTTCATTTAAAATTAAAATTATATCATCTTTCTAGGAGCAGAGGTTCATATATTCCATATTGATCTAGCTTAGCTTGGTCAATTGATCAATCTAATTTTATAATTTTCAGCCTATCACCCAGTGGTTAACCGTTAAAGTTCATAGTACCAAGACTGGCGCAGGGAGGCATGGGTTTGAATTGTTCAATCCCAGCTCTGTGAGCCAGTTTCTGGTCAGAATTGGCAAGGAGGCCAGGTGGTTAAGCACAGCAGAATTGTAGCAGTGAGTTGTGAGTTTGAGACCACAAAATACTGATTGTTCTGCAATGTTGTTAAGAATTGGCAGCAAGCCTACGGCCTAATAAACGCTGAAACAGCTATTATCAGGATTAGCTGAGTTATAGAGAGAAGGACCAGTTTCTGAGTTTCAAGTCTTTTGACATTATATTTGTGTTTTTTATAGGTTTAACATCAACTACAGACTACTTACTACTACATACTAATAATACTAGTATAGGTAGTATATTAATTATTAATATTGTTACCTATCTTGCATTGAGGCATGAGATGATGAAGAGGAAGTTAGGAACTACATTAAATTTAATAATATTACTATATTTTATCAACCAAAACATATTTTGAAAAAGAATTCTTTTTAAAAATATCATTGTCTTTCTGAGACAGTTCATGAGAATCAATTATATTGACAGTTCAACAAAAAAAGAAAATTCAGATCAGGGGAACAAATAACAATTGTTATCAATACATTTTCAAGACTTAATTTTGCATGAATGCATGATGTAGTAAAATTGACATGATGTAGTAAAATTGACACAATTATTATTGTGTGCAAATTGTAAAATTTTAGCACCTAATTGTATTACAAATTTATTGCCTAAATCGAATAACTTTTGCATATTTGACTTAGTCCAGGACGGAACTTTACCTACTAGGTAGTACTACTCACTCCAGTATTTAGGGCCAGTAATTCTTGGATTACACTTACCATTTGACATTAAAATAGGAGATAAATTGCATTTTATGCACTTTGGTATAGAATACAAAACCAGGATAGCAAATAAGAGGCCTAATCTTTCGATTCTTAAATACATTTTAGCAGATATGTCGAGTATGTATCCGAAATTTTGTAAAGTTACAAATCAGGTTTGCAATTTGCATCACGTTACACTACAGAATACATATCAGGCCTGACTGTTGTTTACAACTGTTTGTTCGTTTCGCTACGGCTTTGGCTTCACACTAAGATACATTCATCCAATCGACATTCTAAATACTACATTCGTAATTTAGGAAATAGAAAGAATATATGCTTTTTTACGCTAACTGTAATACTATTATGGGAACTTTTTGGCTCGTAGACTGTAGAATTTTGAAATTTTTTATTACATTTCTTTTCAGTTATACTAAAGTCTTGAGTCATTTTTTTTTTCGTTTTACACGAGTCATTTTTATCATTTTTCATGCTATAAATATCATTATCATTGATTATAAATATCAAAGATAATATTATAAATTAAATAATGAACTCCCGCGTTATGAAATCAGATTTCTTTCCCCATTTTCTTGAATTTTGTTTGTTCGCCAGATGGCACTGGGATCAGTGTCAGTCAGTGGGTGGTGTAATCAATGCGTGATTTTGTTGAATGTAAACAAGGGTAGAAATTATGTTGTTCATGGCGTAAATTAGATAAGCAAAGAGATGGGGAAGGACGCTGAGCTTCTAGAGGCCGCCCGATTAGGCAATTTGCCTATTGTGGACAAAATATTGAGTTCTAAAGCTAGGAAAACTGGACCATTGGCCAGGTGAGTGATGTGACGGACAACTCGAATCTCGATCAGAGAGTGCCATGAGAATTTTAATTTAAGTTGATCAGCTGTTTTTCTTACTCATATATATGTTTCTGTAAAAAGGATTATTTTTAGGTTTAGTTATTATTTATTCAAAGTTCAAACAGATGTTGCTTCCAATCTCAATGAATATATAGCTTCAGCTTTAAGAACCATAAAATTTGTTCTTATTTTAGAATGAAAATTGCCAATTGCCGAATTATGGGATGTTATACAGTTATACTCATATACTGGTAGGGGCACTAGGGCGCTTGGTGGTATGATATGTAATAAATCTATAACTTAATTCTGTCTTTGTTAAATTATCATTAATGCCATATAGCTACTAAAATTTACAACATAGGCCTAATGGAAATGTTGGCCACAATGCTGTCTCTTCAAGTCTCAAGATGCAACCAATGTAAAATTATCATTCAGATCATTTGCCACAAGATTTTAGTGTTTAGTAAGTAAGAAATTTCCAATCTTTGGTGTAGATACCAAAGTGAGCAAATGTATGGAGATTTTTGGCAAAACATTAGCATTAAAATCTTTGTATAGTATGTCTTCAAAAGATCTTGCATCACATTTCTCTTCAAATAACTTTACTTTACTTGTATTTTCAGCATCAAATTCTGAAAAACCTGAAGGGTTAGGCCTAGTACCTATTTCTGGTGACAAATTGTCAATAATACTTATCAATTTTGGGCCTAAAAATCTGATCTTGGTGACACAATTGCCAAACTCTGCTTAGTTGGGTTTAGGATATTGAATCCATCCACTGTTCTGTCTGCTCATATATTTTTATATTTAAATCTTCCTCTAATTTTTTTCTTCATCTAAAGACATCAATTTTAGTGCTGATGCATTGTCAAAAATTAAAATCATGAAAATATCTTAATGCTAGTTTCTTGACTTACCAAAAGATTATTTTTATACAACTGTAGACGTCTAGGCCTATATGAAACTGCAGGTCCTATAACGTACCATGAAAAGTAAAGCACAGCATGGGTCAAGCTGTCAAGGATTCCAACTCATTGCTTTGAAAAAGCTAATTCATTGACAATCACATGGTAAAATTATGGAAGAGGCAGTTTCAAATCAAACTTCAGGGCAAGATGTCAATTAAAAAAAACATGCCCAAAGATGATTGATGTATATGGAGAACAATGTTTCATGAGTAAGAACTAAGAAGTATACCTGAGGCTGTAGGGTGCATAGTGGCAAACCAGTGTGAATTCATAGAATCAGATAATTTTTAATTTTCTTATTTACTCAAGACTTAAACCAATACCTTATGTAGGATGATGCTGGTATCCATGATACTCTGCTGGTCTACTCATAATAGTCATAAAACTTAAAATTTACCTTGAAGGAGAGGCTAAAGATCTCCCTGCCTTGCCACTATGGTAGGGTGTGATAGGGCCGTGGGCACCAGTTACACCCATGGCTCAGAGCTCAGTCATACCCTCTGTCCCTTGTTAGTCCCATGGCCCCAGGTATACCCACGGTTCCAGTTGTACCCACTGCCCCAGTCACAGCGGGCATTAAAGATATTCTTAGGATTTATATAAATTAATTTAATACCTATAGGTACTTGATCCAAAAATGTTTGCTGAGTTATAAATGGTAAGCCTAGTTTGAGGTTTTGCAACCCATTATAACCTGCACATATACCGTACATTACCACTCATGAATGGATACCATTAAATATCAACTGTAGTTATAAAAGCCTAAGGTACTATTACCTAATAATAACTATTATTATATTGATTGTTCTAATTGATCATAACAACAGTTTACGCCGCGGTGTTGGAGTTAACTGCTCAGACACTAACGGCTACACGAGCCTGCATCACGCTGCCCTCAATGGCCACTAGTGAGTCATTGATCCAGCATGCCATTTTTCCATAGCTCAACAAAAAACCAATTGCTGTATGATGATTTTTATTTTCATTTGGGAACATACATGTGTATCAATATCTTCATCAAATCATGAATATATTCAAAGCTGAGTGGAAATTTTGGTTTGTGAATCCAATCTAAGTGACTGGTAACTTGAATAGGTAATAATACTCGTTACATTGATTTTCACTTGAAAGTGTAATTCTTCATTGTGTATTCACTACCTATTCAGTGTTAAGCTAATCAGGCTCATTGATCACGATGGTGCATTAATATGGAAATAAATTCCATTCTCAGTGGGATTGTGTGTTCCTTGCTGCGGCATGAAGCCTCCCCCAACGTCCAGGACCACAAGGGGTCCACACCCCTGCACCTCGCGGCATGGGCGGGCCACACCAGCGTCGTCAAGGCCTTACTCACCCTCAGCGTACACATCCCTGCCAACATCAACCACCAGGTGAAAACCAGTGATAATCATGGCCCCAGTCACACCCACAGCCTCAGTTACTCCCACAGCCTCAGTTACACCCATGGCCCCAGTTACACCCATGGCCTCAGTCAGACCGTGTCATGGCCCCAGTTACACCCACGGCCCCAGTCACACCCATGGCTCCAGTTACACCCACGGCCCAGTTACACCCATGGCCCCAGTTACACTCACGGCCCCAGTTACACCCACGGCCCCAGTTACACCCACGGCCCCAGTTACACCCACGGCCCCAGTTACACCCACGGCCCCAGTTACACCCATGGCCCCAGTTACACCTTGGGCCCCAGTCACACCCACTGCCCCAGTTACACCCACGGCCCCTGTTACACCCACGGCCCTAGTCACACCCATGGCCCTGGTCACACCCCCCCAGTTACACCCGCCCGCAGTTACACCCCCCCAGTTACACCTCAAAGCCCTGTGGGGGCGATGGTCAGAAGTCCGTGTTTGAGGGCGCGGCCATCAGCGGCGGTCAGTATGAAGCATCGACCATCAAAGGTCCTGAGGACGGCGGCCACGGAGCGTGAAATGGATTCCAGAACCTGCTCGTTCAGCTGCTCAAATAGCAGTTGTATCTAGTAACTAGCAGTTGTAATTAGTAACTAGCAGTTGTAACAAGTAACTAGCAGTTGTAATTAGTAATTAGCAGTTGTAACAAGTAACCAGCGATTAGGCTTAGGAAGCAACAGTTATGTCTAGTTGATTGCAGTCATACGTATAGGTATATTTATAGGTTTGCCTTGTTCTGATGTGTGCAAAGTTCCTCGTATTGAATTTTATCAAGTGCAATTCAAGCGTTCCTGATAATTCCTTGCTGGTGACTATGAATACGAATGTATGTGTTAACTCGCTGAGAAGAGAGCTAGGGAATAATTTTTCGTGAGTTCTTTAGGTGATTATTCACTTTTAAGCGTTGTCTAAGCGACTGCCGGCACCACTGTATTCGTAGCATCTCATGTACTCTCCGAACGCTGTATTCGTAGCATCTCATGTACTCTCCGAACGCTGTATTCGTAGCATCTCATGTACTCTCCGAACGCTGTATTCGTACCATCTCTTGTACTCTCACACGAACGCTGTATTCGTAGCATCTCTTGTACTCTCACACGAAAGCTGTATTCGTAGCATCACTTGTACTCTCACACGAAATGTTGTGGGGTGTTGCGGGGTGTTAAGGGGTGTTACGGAATGTTGTGGGGTGTTGCGTTGTGTTGCGGGGGTGTTAAGGGGTGTTGCTGGGTGTTGCATTGTGTTGCGGGGTGTCAAGGGGTGTTGCGGTGTGTTAAGGGGCATTGTGTTTGGCAGTACTGCGTGGTGTTGTGTGATGTTGCATTGTGTTGCAAGGTGTTGCATTGTATTACATGGTCTAGCCTCATAACTTATTCTATCTTATCACTTTTTCTTTCCGTATGTAGCTTCTCTATCGTGCCATTCATGTTTATCATGTGCTGTTTTATCAATTCACTTGTTTTTTATTGCCTGTGTCGTGCCATATTTCCATTTTCAACGTTATATATTGTTCTTTCATGCGATTTGTTCTCTATTGCTAATCTTGATCCATAAAATAGTCCGGCAAATTTTATTGGTCTTTATATATGTTGTTCAATGCTGTCACTTGATTTTGTCATGTGTTTGCCGACCTTACACTTCCGCATTCATTAAATCATTTATTTTATCATTTATTTTACCTCGTAATTGTTTATTAAATGTTTCTTACACCTCGTCTTCCTTCTTATCATAATAAAATTCTAGATAATATATATAGATTATAACATGGGTAATCCCGCTCTCTAGGAACGCTGCATTACTGAGCGTCTTGCAGTGACTCTTGTATAGACATAAAACTGTGCAATAAATAATTGCATTTGAATATCTGTTTGAACTAAGCTAATAAAAATATGGTGCCTATAGGCTTCATGGTCTTATCTGTTTATCATTTCGCGTTATGTTCGTTCATTGACTATATCATTAATAGCGTGGAGTTCTGTTATCTTATCTAACACGGCAGTGCTAATTCAATCATAAAAAACTCGATGCTCAATTGTTTGCAATTCTACCTGATAATCAGAAATGCATGTGGTCGACTTCCTCGAACTGAAGTAGGTGATCGACTGATTGATTTACTGATATGATTTACCGTTTACGGTAAATTAAATACGATGCTCTCATATTTTTACGACATTGCTAAACGCAAATACAGCAAGAGGGAATTTGAAGCATAAAAATAGAATTTTTAATCACTAAAGGGAATTTTTGGTCACACTGGCCCTTTAAAAACTGGGCTGAACTCCCTCATTGTCCGGTCGCATCTCACGTCTTCTCGGCTGACAACAATGTGGGAATACTAATTACCTTTATTAAATGTATATTTTTCAGTAATAATTAAAATACACATTACGCTTACGCATATAATAAGTGATTAAATGAGTTACTAGCTTGGCCGTAGTATGATCGTGATTACTTTAACCGTAATAACGACCGCGTGCATGGGCCGTACCATCAGGCAGAGACTCCGCTGGATTTGGCCGCTCAGTACGGCCGCCTTGAGACGGCCGAGCAGCTGATCAGACGACACCCTGACCTGCTACGGCCGTACACGCCCAATGCTGCTACGGCTGCCGTGTTCCCGCACACTCCTCTGCATCGCGCCTCTAGGAACGGTCATATGTGAGTGGACCGTAGCTGTGGTGACCGTGGGGGCGCGGGGATGAGGGGACCTGTGGTGACCGTGGGGGTGAGGAGACCTGTGGTGACCGTGGGGGCGCGAGGGTGTGGGGACCTGTGGTGACCGTGGGGGCGCGAGGGTGTGGGGACCTGTGGTGATTGTGACTGTAATGGCGGGTGATCATAGATTTAGCAGTTCTTGCATACACGCGTACCAATACCATCTGTAACTCTTATAACATACAAGTAATTAACTCAGTATCAAAGTAAAGGTAAAGTTGTTGAATATAATTATATATTAAAAGGCTTTAACGTTGTCTACGGCAGCAACATCGTGCGGCTGTTGCTGACGCACGGCCACCACGTCAACGTGAGGACGAGCCTCGGCAGCCCTCTGCACGAGGCCGCCCTGGGGGGCAAGGTTAGTGGCTGATGAAGGCCTGCTGGGTGACTGGTCAACGTTTGTAGGGGGGACCCAGTCAACGTTTCTAGAGAGGCCCTAGTCAACGTTTCTAGGGGACTAGTCAACGTTTCTAGGTGCCTTGCCAACGTTTCTAGAGGGGTTCTAGTCAACGTTTCTAGAGAGGTCCTAGTCAACGTTTCTAGGTGCCTTACCAACGTTGTTTCTAGGTGCCTTGCCAACGTTCCTAGAGGGGCTCTAGTCAACGTTTCTAGGTGCCTTGCCAACGTTTCTAGATGAGCCAACATTTTATGGGCCTCTAGGGCCGAGCCATCATTCATAGGAGCCTCTAAAGCCTCCTAAACGTGTACAATTAACACAAAATCCTGGAAAGTTTTGATTTCTTTCGCACCTTTGTTATGGGTCTCGCTACAAATGACTTGGCGAATAAGGATTGTAATATGGACTGTACATTAT